ATGTGGAATTCAAAAAAAGTTTATTCTAACGGGGTTTTCGGATTAACGGGTTGCGGATTATCGGGGTTTGCCTTGTACTGGGGTTGATAAAAGGTGAAAAGAAAGGAGTTGAGTTGTGTAAAAAAGCAGCTGTACAAGGACATGCTGAAGCACAATACAACCTTGGCTGGTGTTATTTAAAAGGGGTTGGAATAGAAAAAGACAATCAAAAGGCATTAGAATTTTATAAAAAGCAGCTGAACAAGGATATGCTTTTGCACAAACTAATCTTGTCATTGTTATCAACATGGAATTGGAATAGATGAAGATGAACAAATGGCAGTGGAATTATATAAAAAAGCTGTTGAACAAGGAGATGATATGGCACAATCTTGCTTGCTGTTATAAAAATGGAATTGGATAGAAAAAGATGAGCAAATACAAAAGGCTGTTGAATTGTATAAAAAAGCAGCTGACCAAGGAAATGCTCTGGCACAAAGTAGTCTTGGTTATTGTTATCAGTATGGGATCAGAGTAAAAAGAGATGAATCAAGAGCAGTAAAGTTATATACAAAGGCAGTTGACCAAGGAGATGTATGTGCAAGGTATTATCTTGGTCAGTGTTATCAGTTTGGGATTGGAGTGGATATGGAAAAAGATGAAAAAAAGGCAGTAGGATTGTATGAGCAAGGAAATACTGATGCACAATATAATCTTGGTTGGTGTTATCAAATTGGGGTTGAAGTTGTGAAAGATGAAAAAAAAAAGCAGTGGAATTATACAAAAAAGCAGTAAAACAAGGAAATGTTTAAGCACAAAACAGTCTTGGTTGGTGTTATCAATTTGGGATTAGTTAGAAAAGATGAACAAGTGGGCAATTGAATGGTATTAGTATCAAAAAGCAACTGAACACAGGAATGCTCAAGCACAAAATAATCTTGGCTGGTGTTATCAGTATGGGAATAGAATAGATAAAAATATTGAAAAGGCAGTAGAACTGTAAAGAAAGGCAGTTAACCAAGGAGATACTTGTGCACAGAATAATCTTGGTTATTGCTACCAATATGGAATTTGGGTAGAAAAAGATGAGCAAAAAGCAATAGATTTGTACAAAAAAGCTTCTGAACAAGGGAATGTTCAGGCACAAAATAATCTTGGTCATTGCTACCAACTTGGAATTGGAATAGAAAAAAATACCCAAAAAGCAGTAGAATTGTATAAGAAAGCGGCTGAACATGGAAATGCTCATGCACAGCATAATCTTGGTTATTGTTATCAGTATGGAGCTGGGGTTGACAAGGATGAACAGATGGCAGTAAAACTGTATGAAAAAGCAGCAGAGCAGGGGAATGCTGGTGCACAATTTAGTCTTGGTTTATGTTATGCAAGTGGAACTGGAGTGGAAAAATATGAAGGAAGGGCAGTGGAATTGTATAAAATGGCAGCTGAACAAGGACATATTAATATTGGTGCAAAAAATTGTCTTGAAGCATATTTATATTATCATAAAAAGAGACAGAAAGCAATTATGTTAGTTTAGAAAATAAAAAGTGCAAGTGTTTTGTTATTATTATGCTTAAATGTTCTTGTAGAGTAACATCCTGTTTAGCCTATTGAATTATTTTATTATAAACATTATATATATATGTTAGGCATTTAATGTGATTTGCTTAATAGCCTTATTTATTTAATTATAACCATTTGACTAAATTACTTTCTGTGAATGCCAATAAAAGTCTGAAATTACAAAAATGCTCTTTGTTTTATGTTTGTGTTAGAAGAAAAGTAGTGATATCTGTGTTATCTGCATAATAATAATAATAAAGAGACTTTTCTTCTCTTTTTAGGATTTACCAAAGATATTGACTGCCACACCTCTTTGTTTCCAAATAACAAACCGTATACAAATTATTTGTTCAAATATCCATTGCCACTCACAAGGCGAGGCGAGTGTACTATGTGTATTCTCTAATACTTGTTTTTACAGAGGCTTTTGTCACTTTTCTAATGTCTGTTTAGCGAATAGTTTTAAAGAAAACAGTAATAAGTAAGCTGAATGGTAAAAAACAAACTTGGAAATAATAGATGACTCAAAAAGTTAAGAGTACGTTTACTATTACATTGTTTTTTTGTAGAATTTTTTATGCACTATAGATCGTATTGTTTGTAATTAATATTAACCAGTTAATCAGAAAACAAATGAAATGTATGGTGCTATAAAAGAGACTGTCCTGGGCCATTTAACGCGAGTCCCAGCATCAAATTATTTCTCTGCTCACATTTACGAAAAATAGATATAATTAATTTGTTTCTGCTCTTATTTCTAACTACATGATTCTCCCCACACTCTTTGCTATACTAATACTAGATTTCTGAAACAAATTATCCCATCCATACCTACACCGAAAGAGGACTGAATACAATATAAATAGACATTCAATAGATAAAAAGACATTACAATTAATCGTTTATGACACTACGTATAACATTTGGTAGACGGCCGACGATGTTAATATTAATATGGTGAATATTTTATTATTATTTATTTTTCTGTTCCGCAATACGTCAAACTTTTTCCGACAATATATTGATCAGTTCATATTAATTAAATACTTGATTTATTTTATATAATAAGTAATCTGTAATATTAAAGTTTTACATGCTAATAACCTATCGACTTTGTAGTTGATTTATATACGTATCCAATTCCTGAGCAACAGCAGGGTTTGTACACTTATTCCGGATTTCACTGCAGAACGGAAAAAGTATATCAGAACGCGTCAATACAAATTTAATGCAAACCAATGAATATCTTACAAAATGGCTACAGACTTACCTGAGCAATTGAATGTTTTTCGACGCATATGCCTCTTGACCAGCTGCCTTAAAGTCGCCAATTTTAATAAATAATCCTGGACGAACAGCCGGATCACACTTTTGAATATATTTAGCTGCTTCACTGTTTTGCATGGCCTTAATACAAGCCTCAACAAATGGCTAGCATTTCGAAATGCATGTAAGAAAACTGATGCAAAGTAACTTAATGAAATGGAAAATTATACAACGCGTAAAAACAAACCTCGTATCCAATTGGAGACTTCTTAGATTTGGAAAGTTTGTCCAATTCATCCCATTCCCTCATCTCAGCAAATGCTTTTATTTTGATCCACCAGAACCTACGATGATAAGAAGAAGCAATCGATTAAAGTTGACTCTCCAACCTGCATGTCGAGTACAAGCAGGGGCGAGGCTTACCGCTTATCCGGAATCTTGAAATCGGATTTTAATTTATCTGCTTTGCTCCATTCTCTGGCTAAAATACACCTATGCACAGTCTCATTAAGGGGCAATCCTACTAGCAGACCCCCAATATCCTTTTCCAACTGGGCTTGTTTCTGAAGTAATCTTATATGTTCGTCTACAGCCTAACAAGATGGAAAAGCATGTTAAAATTTGTCAATAACATTCAAGTAAATTTCAACAATAACCTACTATACCTTTGCTTCAAATCCATGTTCTTTATCATCTTGATACCACTTGGATGCTTCTCGTAATTTATTAATCCTATCAGTAAGATCCTAAGATGAATATTAGATAATTAGCTCGTGCAAAACAGAAACCACCCGTTATAACAAAATGTTCATTCGTATTAGTACGGGTGCTATTGCCAAACAGTAATTTCTAAATTATACTAACTGTCTTTTCGTAGCTTTCCAAAATTCTTATGTTGGCGATTTCAACTCTTCGATCATCTTGGTAATAAAAGTCGTTCAAGATTTTCAAATCCTGTTGTTTGAAGTAAACTTCCAATAAATTACAAGCCATCGGCTTGTTTATGATACGGAAAAATTCTGACGGTGGCAACTTCTTTTCCAAATGTAAAATAACCAAGTATACTGAGACACAATAGAATCCATTGATTAGTAAACATCTCACAAGGCAATAGAGAACTATAGCGCTTCATGACCAATAACATCGATAATATACCTAAATCAGTGTCTCCACTCTCAATAGCTTTCTCAAGAGCCACTTCATCTTCTTGCATGTCCATCAATAGCGGTACTTGATCTGCTGCGCGAGGTTCATAATCAAGCAACTACAAAAAATAAAGGCTATTAGTGAAGATTTCTTTAGGGAAAAAAACAAGTTCTACCGCTAAAATATGCATACTCTTGTAGCAAGCTTAGGTTGACCAACTTCGTATGCAGTCTTGGCTATTTCCGCATAAGAAAGTCCGGGTTTGTTGGCCAATTTATCAACTATCATTAGACAAATGGTCTCCTCATCATCCGTTGATTTCGTTATCTATGGATAGAGAGTTAACATGTTAATTCCGCGTACGGCTATATGCGACGAAAGCACCGTATATGGATATTATTCTGACTTTTGCACACGCCCAGTGAATAAGCACTCGGTCTGTTCTCATCTTTAGATATTCGCAGATACGTAATGCTAATAGATGGTGATGTCGATTTATTAATCGGTCAATCAACACCTCTGGACTCATTCTCCGATATCTGAAAGAGCAATAAGCATAAACTTTATACGATACAACTTTCGTTTTTGATTACTAAAGTCAATTAATAGTGTACTTACTGCTCGTATGTTATTGGTATTCCAACCTCATAATATCTAACTTCGTTCAATACTCTCAACGACATGCACATATTAACAAAGTTATCCACATTATATGATTCGAGGAAGGCTTTGCCAAATGAAGCTGCTTTTAATAATGCCCTTTGCCAATCTGGACTAAATTCATGGCCAGCAGCTTTGATACAGTCATCCACTGCATCTGCTAATTCCGTTTTAATGCTGCGTATGTTCTCGTCAGCTTTGGGGCTTTTTTTCTGATTGGGGAGAGGGAGGGGGGAGGTAATCGATTTCAAGGATATGGATATATAATCGTCTAGTGCATGTAAACGTTGGCATATCTAATGTTTACATTTTTCATACCTCAAAGTGTTCCAATGCGTCAAATAACATGGCAGCTGGTGCTGTTGAACCAATTTTGAATATATCCTCAGTTTCGCCTGTTGCAGTAAACGTATGATGCGCGTTAGTGTCAAAATAAAATTAATTATTACACATGTTGACAGATCTTACGTACGGGGAACTTTCTGCAAGAACTCGCACTTGTCACTACTAATGATGCGCACACCATCCACTTCGGGAATCAAATAAATAGTTTCGTCATAAGAGTATTTGATAAAATCGCCAAAAGGACCAATCATTAATACAATATTATCCCAATACAAGACAGCCGAATCGGTTCCACACCTAGAACAGTATTTACAGGACGCCGTTGTTCTAAACAAATTCCATGAAAAATCGACGAAATCAACAACACATTCAAATACGCACCAAACGAGTTGATGGGGAGGAATCTTTGATTTAGTGGGAAATTCCGTAAGATTCTTTGAAAAATCGGATGCGAATACCAACAGCCTGCCATCTGTCGTAAATAGAGCAAGAAACTTGCCGTTGGGTGAGACTGCCATTTTGGTAAATGGTCCTTGCGTTATTAGCTGATGACGTATAAATATTAACATGTTAGCACAAACAATATACGCGGTTTGTGCGTTGTCATCTGAAAATGCGGCAATAAATGTAACCTGGTCAACTGCTCCTATTTGGTCGACGGCCAGTATTGTTGTGCCCGTAGCTAAGAGTACTTCTACGTGACGACTGAGCGTAAACTGGGGAGGAATTACGGTCCAACTGTGCGGCGGTTCATTCAAACCTATAAAACAGAAGGTGAAAAAAATGGTTTAAAAAGATCCTAAACGTTCCTCTGACTACCAATAAGTATTAATTATATGTACTCAGATACCAGGATCAGCCATAAGTCGAGGACGAGGCTCATCAAAGTTAGTCAGCGCTACCAATTTAAAATCTCCAGTCAAGGCTACTAATCCACTTCCCCATATCTGACAGTCTATGACAGAACTAGTTTCTGCCTCCTACAAAAAACGTTTATGATTAATACTGATATTGCTAACCATAATTGTTTTGCGATCGTGTTATTCGTTTCTTACCTTCCCAAGAGATATTTGTGTATGTTCCCCATGCACGTCGTACAACCATATTTTACCATCTTCCAAGACGACAATCAATCTCTCTGTATCTGTCCAACCCATGGTTACTATGCGTTCTTTATCCCACTTGCGTAGCATTTCCAAAATGTCAATTATAACGAATACGATCCAACACATTCTCCCCAAGCACGATGCAGTTTTAATGATAAAATTTCATACTTGCAATTGTTCCATTAATTTTCCCGCAGAGGTGTAGAGATAAATAGTAGGTTTGACCGGTTGTTTCTGAAGTAGTTGAACTTTCTTATCATCACGTATCATTGCTAAGTAGCAAAGCCGTGAAGGTTATGATGGGATGTTTAGTACTATTTTCGTGTAATCCTTGCTAATACTAGTTTTGCTACAAATATAGGCAACATGACTCTCCATTACCCATCTCAATTACGTGAGGCGAGCATGCCAATTAACATTGTCACTGGGAATGTGCTCCCAACTCGTTCTAATCACTTCAAAATTTACCTATTGGACCACCATATGAAGCACCAGCGATCATGAACTTGGATAGATCCATATGCTTCCATGACATTGTGTATATTTCCTGCTTCCTATGTGAATAGGTATCATTATTAATTTCAATGATAATCGCGGTTAAAAATACAGTTTAATTATAATACAGATATTCACCTGTAGAAGCGGTCTTGTAATTGCATCCAATCAGTAGTCGGATGTGGGGCCATGATCGTATCGTAACAAAACAAGTATAGCAAGTTGTTTGGTAAGCGACTTGATATGCAAAAAGATGTGGAGAGATGTGCGAAATGGCGATCGATGATCTAATTTCACGTGTAACTCTAAATTTGTAATAACTAGAAAAATCATCGATGTACAGCGCCACACGGAAAATGGTTCGATTATGCAGATCACATCCAAACAGGATCGACCTAGAAGTTTAATGATGTTACCAGAATATACGAGGATGATCGTAGCAAACATGTATATATACACCCGCTGAACGAGGCATTTGTCTCCACAATCAAAGAAAAAAAAAACGACAAAACAACAAACAAAACAGCAACAAAACAAACAAAACAACAACAACAAAACAACCAACTCAAAACAACCAACTCAAAACAACCAACTCAAAATGTCTCTCATAAGCTTCACTCCTGAATTGGGTCGTCTCTTTAACGACTACTTTGGAGACTTTCACGTTGCTCCGAGGGGACAAGGTGGTGCAAGCAGATGGAGGCCATCTATCGATGTTCATGAAACGGATAAGGAATATATCGTAAACGCCGAACTTCCTGTAAGTATTCGATCGATAAATAACTAATCAGTACAGTTTTGAATTTAGGTCGACTCACACGTATTTTCCACAAACACAGGGCGTTAAAAAAGAGGAAATTAATCTTGATCTGCGTGACCACGCACTAGTAATTTCGGGAGAAACCAAACAAGACAATAAATTCAAAGAAGGCAATGTCTACGTACAAGAACGCCGCTACGGTAGCTATTCTCGAACCATTGGTCTACCCAATAATATCAAGGCAGACGCAGTCTCTGCCAAGTTCAACGATGGTGTACTAGAAGTCACGATACCCAAGGCTGAAGATGCTCAACCAAAGAAAGTCCAAATTAGTTAAACGAGTGGATAATCATAGAGTTGATGTTTGTTAAGGATTGTTAGCGTATTAATCATTCACGAACATTCATAGTTAGCATTTGCAAACATTCATATTTTAATAGTTCCATTGTAGCATTGTATCATTGTATATGTACATCAATTTTTCTAAATAAAGCATAAGTTGAACGTATATTTATTTTGCTAAGTACCTGAGTCAGAAAATATATAATAATGGGCTTGTGATTGAAGTAGATGGGGGCGAAAATTCACCATACGATATGAAGAGAGAGAAAAAAGACGCACTGTGATATGAAATGACAGCCTAACGTAGAATCTATATGTCCTTTATAATGTAACCCTAATAAAGGTAATTTGCCAAAAGACTAGTCCTAAATTGGGGCGTAAACCATGCGTCAAATATTGCGTGAATTTTATCAAAGCTGTCTAAATAAAATTTTTTTAAAGCCGCCACAATGAAAAAACTACTCTGAGTTATCTTTTGTCACTTTAAAAACTAAAAGCACAAAACTGAATGAGGTTAAGATTGTAGAGTCGAGTTTCGTGAGAATTTACTTTTCGAACACGACTGTTACAGCGATATAGAATTTTATTGGCGTCATAAATGAGTCCAGAATTAATCAGATGGGCATAGTATTAGAAACTTTCTAAAATTCTGTGAACTGGTAATAATGTTTATGAATATAATACACGTACAGTAGATTCTAAATTAACTTATTGTTTTAGTTTTGGGCTTAATTGGCAGTATTTAAACAAAATCGTTTATTATTATATGAGTATGTTCTAGCAAAACACGTGGTAATGTTCTAGAGAAAAATGCATAATCACGTCAAATAAGAGGTTGCTAAACTGCAATACTAATGCCATTACATATGGTAGCCACTACTAATACGTAATAGGATGCGGACGACATACTATCAAACTACGTCGATATTAAAGAAGTATACCCTTGATAGTCGAAAGTATATCAAGCGAGGTAGGGGGTGACAAGTAATGATAATGATACGCCCTTTCCAGTTCACGAGATACAGTATCTTTGCCTGCCACTTCTTATTATAACAGAGGCATCGCGACAACAACATCTTCGTCGGTGTTTCCTCCGTCGTAACGGCTTTTTTTTTAGTTTTTTAATGGAAGACATTGCCAAGATTACGACGGTTCGAGTTATTAAAAGTAACTTTTCAAATCGAATTCTTTATTGGTGGTACTAGCAATAAACATATTCACATCGTCCCTATACTCCTAATATTATTATGGGGTGGCGATGGAAAAGTAGGAGTTGGCTTAACATTGCGGGGTGGATGAGTATTAGCTCGTTCTAATGCCTGCACTAATAAGCTTTTATTAATGATCATGATATTTCTTAAGGTCAATAATAAACGAACTTGAGATTTAGTGTCTGATGTGTGTGGTGTTAATGGACTCAGAATGATCTAGATGAAAATACCTTGGTATACTAATACCCCTTTACTAGAACATTGAGACGTAAGACTGTGGTTTCCCGCTGGTCTATACGATGCACCTATAAAGCATCCCATCTAAGGTTTCTCTCCATAATTTTACATGCATTAATTCCAAAATTTTTTCATCCTGTTTCAACAACCCCATAAAATCAGATCGCTCTCCATCTACTCTTATATTTCGTCTAACTTGCTTGCTAGACTTTGGCGTTCTGCGGTCTTAAGCAAACAACACCACCTCCCAAATTTGATCGAAGCAAAGGAACTATGACATCTGTGACGTAAGTTCCTTCACCTTGTTCACTGCGAGACATACTAATACTGGTCATATTATTCCATGTCTCGCGATTAATGCGTTGAATACATGGGCATTGTCGATAAAATGCGTTGGTATCGTACTTTCATTTTCTTTCCACCTTTTATTATGGAAATTGTTCCTTATAACCGATGAAGTATTCGAATTGTTAAAATTACTTATAAATTCGTCGCAACTGAATCGAGTATAGTACATTTCATATTTTCCCGAGGTTCCAAAGAAGTACTCTTCTGTCTACGTCCAGAATTTTTACCATGAATGAGTCATCGCTAATAACCATGCTCGCCTCAGGATCCCGCCACGAAAGATTTGACAAGTCTACATTCTCGAGAGTTTTTCTGAGCGAATCGTAAAGATTTAAATCTGTTGCTGATGCAGGGTGCTGAAAATACAATCCTATGAGTTCCGAGACAAAAAATACTTTAAACTTTTTATATTTACCTCGAGTTTATATTTTAATTTATTAATATTCTCATCTATTTCTTCTCTGGAAGTAATTCTTTTTCCATGTTCAGCGCCTTAAACGACTTAAGACCTCGAACACTAATGTATCCATTCTCGGCTTATGGTAAATGCAATATAATATGTACCAGTACATTAGTTAATCTCAAACTTATCTACCTCCGCACATGTGCGTTTACAGAAATTTTGGGATAACATTGTTTTGGTTGGATAGTCACGCACAGTTAGAGAGGAGCAGAAACCCTCTACATCTAGAAGACATAGCTCTTCCGGGCCGAAATTCTCCAACCTTTAGCTATGACATACCAAAACTATCTACATTTACCATAGAATCATCATTAAATATCAATATCGCAGAATCTGAAAATTTACCAACCTGGGATAATATTCAATATCATCTATTTCAACAGAGATGAATTTACTGCATGGTCTATCGCTCTTACATAGATAGCTATCACCAGGTAAACCGCGGACCATCATAAAGACTGTCTAATGACTCTTCTAATAAAAGTGCTTTTATCTTAGTATTATCCAAAAGGCAGTGGGGGAGAATAAAGAGTTAACTGGGTTTTTCATTCAAAAGCCTAAGACAGTAATTCAAACCATGTCAATTATTTGTTGAAAAACCCAATTGCGATTTGGGTCAACCCGATTTCGATCCTGCTAAGAAAAGACAAAAAGTGAAACAAAAAGTACAGTAAAACAGATTTTAACAATAATAAACATGTATTAGGATTAGTATTAGACAGAAGTATTTATGAAAATGGCACTGGATTCACTGATACTGAAGCAGGAATAAGAAAATACCTTTTTGGGAAAGAAATAAACAGAAACTACTCTTGCTAAATACACATCTATAAGTGCACCCTCCTATGCAAGAGACTTTGAGCCCCAGATATATTCATAAGTAGTCGTTTGTTGTTTATATAAACAACAAACGACTTAGATTAGACTATAATAGTCTCAGGTATGACGTGCGTTTTGCATTTGCCTCGTCACTCGAGTGACGAGCATTTTGCGTTTGTTTCGTCAAAGATGAGACGTTTATAGTCTGCTCATCAGGTGACGTGTAAATTGCGTTTGTATCGTCATTCGAAAGCCACCAAGGTACGTATTGTGGCTTGACGTTCGATTTCTATTTTTTACGTCACTCAAATGACGACTGTGGCTAATTTTTGTCGTCAGGTCACATGCCAACTATTGTATGCTAATTTGGCAACCGTATCTGATTTTCGTTGCTGGGTCACATGAGTAAAAAATATATATCTGACGATGCATTCAGTCGCGTGTCGTCATTTGTAGAGTCATATAGCCAAAGTATATGCTATCGGGGTCTATTGCAATTATATTATCGGGTATGCTATATACATGTTATCTGGTTATGCTATCGAAAAAATGTTATATATATGTTACCAGGTATGCATCGTATAATTGTTATCTGGGTATGCTATATACACGATATCCGGACACAAAAAAAGGATAATTTCGAAATAATGCTGGTGAATATGTCGGCGAAATAATTGTCGATGAAATGATTTTCGGCTAAATGGTTGCCGGTGAAATATTGCGTCGGTGAAATAATTTTCGGTGAAATGATACGGACCCATCGAAAAAATTCTTGCAGATATCCAAGATATTAAATACCAAAAAAAATGTCATGGAATATTTCACAACATGCCTCCTGTGCCTTCAATGCCTAGATGGATAAAATCCGAGACAGAGACTAATCGATCCAGCTCTGATTCAGAATCCACGGATTCAGACTGGTATGACCTCGATTCGATAAAACCCCGAAAGAATCATGTTCATATTAAAAAGAAAAAGGTTGTCTCTCCTATCCGAAAACATCGTAAAAATAAGCATACCAACTGTGTCCGCATTCCAGAGTAGTGATCTATCTAATCAACTATAACAACTGGTGCAAGTGGAAGGTCTTTGAATCTTTTTTCGATATGAGCTAAAATCTTTCTAGATAATATTTTCGATGGAGGTACCTCTATCAATACTTTTTCCGCACCCTTTTCAGTACATATATACCCACATTATATGTATTAATTTCCCACCCTTGTAGTTATGTCAATGATGAAGTAAAAATCGATACTCATCCGTTACAATATCAATCATCTCCTCCTGATCTGCTATTAATTCCCGAAAAAGCTGTTTATCTTCATCCGTAATTGGGAGGCGAATTTCTTCAGAGCTGAATCCTATATACTTGGAAATCTGATCGCGTAATTCATAAGACATTTTTTGTTACTATGATACGTAATAAAATATATTTAATTTATTTCGTTGTAATGAGCGATGTCATGTGCAATCATATACCACCGATCTCCCATTATTCGTTCATCCAATCAAGAACCGGAATTATTAACATACATAACTGTACTACATAGATAATCGTGTCTTTCCCCCACACATGCACAACGAGACGATAAAAGCCCACAAGAGGAAAGAACTCGACAATCACCACCAGTTTTCATACTGAAAACCCCAAGTTATGGGGAGTTGAGGTCTCAGAGATTGCAGAGATCGTCATTGCATTAACCAGCCCGTCTTGCAGGAGCGATCTCGAACCTAAGGGACTTCATTCCCACCGAAATTGCGTAATATGGTTATGCGTCTCTTCTTTGTCTGCGGAGCAAGATGCTTTGCATCTGAATTCTTGGCAATTATGGGCTAGCTATACAAGGTAAGAAATCCGTTAATTTTCGAAATCATACGACCGATCCTCCAAACGACGCAATATTGGTTTTCTTCTAGCAAGTTCGAAGGGGGGGTATATAAATAAGCAGGTTTTAGGGAGGCTTTATTTCTTAGGATACTTCATATCCCGTACAACGTCTTTCCACGAATTTTTTACTCACTATGGATTTTATATTTAGGAAACGCAATAATGGGTACTATTAATCTCGAATGTCTTATTAGTCCCGTTCACGCATTCATTGGTCTTCCAAGAGATGCTGTTATTCAAACAATTACAATTCCGAGCGGGCGAGAGACGATGATCTTGAAACTGAAATTCGGAACCAGTTACCACCTCAATTTAAAAATGTTTTTTTTTTTATTATTATTTGTGCATTTCACCCCGGGCCTGTAAAATACAGAGGGAATCAGACCAGTAAATCCTAATTTTATATTGTGAGACGACTATTTTTTTCTTTTTCAATCTCCATGTCAGATTCGTTCCATAACACTTCTATTGGCTCTTCCTCTAGAAGAAGTTCGATTTTCTCTTCTTCTTCAACCTCTTATGTCTTTTCTTCGCAGATTGGTTCACAGATTTCTCTGCAGATTTGTCCCATAACACT